TCATATTGTTCTAATGACTTATCATGTTAAAACCAATGTCATGTTAGAAACCATGTGATTGCATTTAAGTGCCAAATGTATTTAAATAAGTAGGAAATAATGTCATGACTGTAAAATAGTACAATTTATTATTAGAAAATCTTTTTGGAACGGTGATAGTGTTATTGTTAGAAATCTTTTGAAATGGTGTGATGATGATTTTAATTCAATATTTTGGTGGAATTTTGTGACAAGAAAGAAGGAAATGATAGTTCTGTATTTTAGTGGAATTTTGTGACAAAAAGGAAAGAAATGATAGTTTACAGGTACGTGCTGGTAAAATGTTCGTATTTCTTATATTTCTTCCAGACATAGCCAAACAATAACAAAGTATTTCCCAAGTTGCATCTAAATACTACCCAAACAGTAACAATCCATTTACAGGTAATGTATTACGCCAGTAATATATTTCACAGACAATATATTTCTAGGTATCCAAACGGCCCCTAATGGTCTTCTAAACCTCATCACTCCACCACCAAGTTGCCTTATCGAAATTTCTTTCCTTCTAGTTTCTCCTAAAACTTCTTTCGCCACTTTATTAATACAAGCAACCATCTCTTTCCACATAATATTGACATCATGTTCAAAGTTTCATTTCCCTTCTTTAACTAATATATCTTTAGATAAGTCTTTTTTTTTTTTTTAATTCCATCACTTAGTTCTTGGACACCTATTAATTTCACCTATTATCCGTCATCTCTTTATGTAGAGGTCCATAACCACGAGCTATGTCGCATAGTCAAACTATCTGCTAAGACAAACTTATAGTCTTTACATACTTCTTAACTAGGAAGAAATCTATTTGGTTTTTATATAATTCACTTTTATAGGTTATTAAATATCCATCTAGCTTTTTAAAGTAATTGCTGACTATTGCCAGGTCATAGGTCATAGCAAAATCTAGAATAGCCTCATCCATCTCGTTTCTTTATCTAAACCCATATCCTGAATGTACCACTTCTTATCACCTATTATCCTCCTTTACATTACCATTTAAGTTCCCTCCTAAAAAGGTCTTCTCTCCATTTGGTGTGTCTCAGACTAATTCACCCATTTGGTGCATAAGCACTATTATGTTAATTATCTCTTCCCCTAGCGCAAGTTTAATTATTTTTTAATTACTCTTCCCCTAATACAAATTTAATACAAGATCAATACAAGTTTGTACGAGTACAAGTTTATTTCCTAATACAAGTTCCTAATTATCTTTTGCCCTACTACAAGTTTATTTCCCAATCTTTCTCAAAGGAATTGGAAATTATTATCAAGAACGTTCTATTTTTATTGACCTCATGAAGAGATATATGTACTTGGTCTAGAAAGGGTGAGGATCTAAAACTTTCTCTTAACCCATCCAAGCTCAAGTAAATGAAGTAGGTTATGTTAGGTAGGTAGTCAACATAAAATTTTGTTAAAATTTTTATAATGCCCCAGGTCAACTCCATTAAACCAAAATGAGTGCTGCAAAAAATGTTGCAATAGATCAATTCTGCCTCAAATACAAACATAATGACTTGGTCCACAAAAAAGGGCAAAAAATATGCTTTTAGCCAATCCTCCCTAATCGAACAACTGAGAGAGAGAGAGAGAAAGAGAGAGAGAGAGAGATTCAAAGGTTTAAGCGCTCAATAGTAGTTTCTTTAAGTTTCGGAGAACATCATTTAAGGGCTCTTAATTCTTCACAAAATCATCCTCATGGTGGGATCGTAACAAAGTACATAAGACTCGTAATTCAGGAAATCCAATCTTGCATGTGTAAGGTACTTCTTCCAACAACATTATAAAAAATACCAGAATCTTGGGCATTTTAATAATTTGACCCACCTATTACGTTCAAACCAAGAGACCGCAATAACCTTACTTGTTCAAGCTAGGCCAAATTACTTAATTACCCTTGTTTCAAGTTCCCTACCTTGAACAAAGGCTATTTTGGCAAATTTTCTGAAGATATATTTGAAGATATAAAACTTACACAATAAAACCTCTAATGTTCATAGCAATCCTTTCACTACATTGATTTTATAAGTAGTTTTGACCCTCGAATGATATTTGGCCTTTTACTCTTTTATGTTTAGAATTGTTAATCAAATAGGACATTAAACTCCCTCCCTCTCTCTCTCTCTCCATCACCGGATTTGAACCTAGGTCTTCTATTACAAATCAGCTATTTAGCCAAAAGGCTTGATTAAAATTCATTTTAAACCAAGGTTCAAAACATCGACTCGGCCAAGGTACTAGGGCTCTGGCTGAGGCGATATATTTTGCCGAGTCCAAGTTCCTCGGCCGAGTCATGCTCACTTTTTTTTTTTTAACACAAAATCACACAAAATAATTAGATATATATAATGGGAGCAGCTTCTATTCAATGCACGTCCGCCCGCACTAGTCATACACCCCCAACAGGATGTTGGATGCAATCCCCAAACCATTTAGCTTCTTTAGAGCAAATAAAGATTATGTTACATATAAAAATGGAGGCACCATTGCAACGACTGCTATGTTGCAAATGTGTTAGTACCCGTGGTCTGGACTTCTAGGTTGTGAGTTCCATTTCTATGGGTGGAGTATTTGTTTTAACTCTATTTTTCTCAGTGCATGGATTTATTTTGGAGTTTTCTTTTCCATAACTCTTTTAAAAAATATAGTTTTTTACTCTATATTTTTTAATGGCTTGGATTTTATTTTAACTCCATTTTTTGAAGGGAAAAATTTATATAGAGCTGAGGCTCCAAACAATCAAATTAGAGCCAACCTCAAAAATTTCACCAGAAGAGGTTGTTTTGATGCCAGAGATCCTCAAATTGATCATCCCAACATCAAGATGCATGGACATGAGAAAACAATAGATTTAAACTTTTAGAAATAGTGTATTTTCTAATGTATTTTTGGATTGTCAATCATCAAGATTTTCAAGTTTTCATAGATCTGTCGATCTACCCTATTTTTGAAGCTTTAAATTTTATAAATAAAGATGAAAATATATTTTAAAGTTATCACAAATATTTCCCATATTGAAATGGCATTTCTCAACACTATTTGAAGGTAGGCTCTAATTTGATTGTTTAGAGCCTAGGCTCTATACAGACCGCACCTGTTTATTAATGGCATCGCTTTATTTTAGAGTTCTTTTCTTCATCACTCACTAAAAAAAAAAAAATTTCTTACATCTCGTGAATCCTAAAAAAAATGACTCATCATTTTTTCATAATTGATACTTTCTTCTCATGTTTTTTCATAATTGCTACTTTTTTTGGAATTCTTTTTGTCTTTTGGAATTCCTTTTATCAATCTTTTTTAAAGATAAACTTACATCTCGTGAGGTATAAAAACACCAGAAGTGATGAAAAATACACACGCACTCTAGTAAAAGTGATATTTATTTTTGGAATTAATTAGTAAAAGTGACATTTATTTTTAGAATTAATTAAATATGACTAATTTTAATAATTTCTCTTGTTCACTAAAGAACTAATAGATTTTATAATTTTTGATAGTTCATCGATATTAACTATATGGTACACGAAATCAGTCAACAAGTCAGTAAAAAAAACCACGAATCTATAGAAGGCTTTTGAAGATGACTTCAAAAGCTTCAAAATACACTAAAAATCATAAATAATAATAAAAAAAATTTGTTGAGAAATTATAGACAAATAATATATTTTGCAACTTTTGACTGTTCATCGGTATTGCCAATTTGATGCATAAAATCAATTAATATTGATTAAAAAAACGACGAATCTATATAGGGCTTTTGAAGCTGATATCAATAAATTCAAAACAAATAAAAAATCATAGAACATTGTTGAGTAATTAGGGAAAAACAACAGATTTTGCAAAACAATTACAGTCCATTGATATTATCTCTATCATGAAATAAATCAATCGATATTAGAGTAAAAACATACAAACTATATAGGAGTTTTCAAGTTATTTCAATAACTTAAAAAGAAATTATTAATCAGAACATTAATGTTGATAAATCAAAGAGAAATAATAAATTTTGCAATTTTTTTGATAGTTCATCAATATTAGCTCTATGATGCACGAAATCGATCGATAAATCAGCAAAAAAACCATAGATCTATAGAGGGCTTTTGAAGATAACTTTAAAAGCTTCAAAATAAACTAAAAATCATAAAAAACAATTATTAGTAATTAGAGAAAAATAATAGAGTTGGCAATTTTTTCACAAATTATTGATGATACATCTCTGATGCACAAAATCAATTAGATAATAGCTAAAAAACCCACACATCTGTAGAGGGCTTTTCAAGCTGACTTCAAAAACTTCAAAACAAGCCAAAAATCATACGATTTGGTTTAGAAATAAGCAAGAACACAGAGGTTTGACAGAAAAAATCAATCATTCACATAGAACCCTAAAACCAAAAGATTATTGTCATACAACTTGATAAATCTGCAAATCGGCAGAGGTATTTGTAGACAGCTACTATAGATTGAAAAAGAACCCGATAAATCTGCAAATCAGCAGAGGGCCTTTGTAGATAGCTACTATAGATTGCAAAGAACCCATAATCAATAAATTTAGTGGAGAAATTAGAGAGAAAATAAAGGATCGACGTATTCTCTAAGAACCCTAAAAAAGCACAAAATTAGTAATGATTTCTTGTTCGATTTGGGTTTTTATGAACCCAAATCGTATATATCTGTTAAAAAACATGAAGGATCCAAAATCCATAAAAAACAGTCCAAGAATTTGATTTTTCCATTCAAGAAACTTCCTATATTCTTAAAAACGAGTTGCATCCACTAAATGAATATACGTGGGCGAGTTTCATAGTTTTCGAGGCAATTCTTCCATTTTTACACCGAGTCCTGTACATTCATGGCTAGAAATGTAGTTGTACAAGTGACTTGGGGCTTCTCGGTCTCGGCAGTAGAGCAAGGCCGAGGAACTCTGTCAAGACCAAGTTGACTCGGCCGAATCTGAAAACTACGTTTCAAACATTCATTTTGTTGATAAGCTTGTTTACATTTTGGTTAATAAGCATGTTTCCCAGTTGGTCCTTATTTCAACATCTGCTACGCTTCATAAATGATATGTAAACCAAGCAAAAACAAGTCCTGAACACCATACCTTGTGTAACATTTCTTTTGTATTTTATTTCTAACCAATAACTTCATGTTCTCACAGCCAACAGTGCATAATTGTAAGAAGTCCTAAACTGCAGAATGCCAGGGGCTAAGACATAGAAGACAAGGGATTCCCCTAACTATTGTAGAATTTTCCTTGCAGACACTACTACTTTACGATGGTGAATAGCAGCATGGGACTCAGAATTCGATATGAGAGAGAGAGAGAGGTATAGGAAAACTAAATGAATACCTCATGAGAGAAGCAGCCCTAGACCTATATTTTCCATACTGTCACTACATAATTAAAGAGAGGGAAAGTGTGAGAGACATGAAGCTTGGAAGAGAGACGAGTATGGTATTATTATTATTAGTTGATGTTGGAGATCCGATTTATAAAGATATCAAAGTTGGAGTCTGTGTCAAGCAGGCTGATTCGAACGTACTTGGGATCCCAACCAAAACTCCGCCCGCCACGTGTCAGTATATTGTGGCTCTTCAAGAAGGCCTCACAATCTTCAATTTCGTCTCCCTCACATTTTGTCCAGGCGAAAGCTGTGACGAATGTGAAATGTGTATGTTAAACCTTAACAGAAAGAATCAATTTCATTTAAAAATATTCTATTATTTAACATAATTAACACAGTGTGGGTTAGACGTTCATATACATTATAGAAAAATGGAGTGTTATACATGATGTCTCTAAAAGAGAAAAAGAGAGAGAGAGAGAAGAGAGAGAGCAGCAAAGGCGCTTCGCCTCACAAGACAAAATATAACGTGCTACGCCCTGATAACAGCCCGACTAATGTCATGACAATGGCCAAATTTGTGAGCAAAGTTCAGAAAAATTAGAATCACAATTATAACAGCCAAGAGGTTACATTCTCAGGAGCCTTGATAAGGCCTACGAATAGCTGATGTTAGAATTCCGAAATTGAGAGAGAGAGAGAGAGAGAGAGAGTAAATTTACCGGGTTGTGTCGAACTTGGGCGACCGAGGAAGTTGCAAAAGGCAGAGGGAAATTCGGGCAAGCTAAACCGTTTATGAATGTCAACTGCCTGCCTTAGCCTCTCCCACCTTTTGCTCATAAGTTCATGGCCGTGTTTGAAGAAATTTTCATATGCACCACGACCCATGATGATACCCCCTTTGCGCTCGTAGCTGCTAATCACAGTGCGAAGTATATTGGCCGCACGCAATTGGGAGTCCTTTGAAACACCAATGGTATTCAGCACTATGAACATTGTCATCCTTTTCGCTACTTCTAGGTCTTTCACTAGAGCCCACCTAAACCAGGAAAGAAATTAATTACTTGACAAAAAGTTTGGAAATAAAAACAATAAAAAGAAGCCAGTTAGAAACCAGAATCAAATAGTGAGAGGTAGTAGATCATGAGTGTGCAGACATAGCAGGTCAATTGACAGATAGAAAGATGCATAGAGAATCTAAGATAATAAGTAGAGAAGGGAATTTTGGCTAAAGTTTGGCATTTGACACAAAAAAAAGAAAAGGAAAAATATCTCCATAACCTTTATTTTTAAGTTTCATTTCACAACAGACCCAAGGTTTTAAAAGATATCTTGGGGCATAAAACTTGTAGATTTTATTTCTTCTAACCCCTGAGCTAATTTAAACCTGTTTTTTTAAGCCAAACAAATCTAAAAAGACATGTCTTTTCTAAAAGTCATCCTCCCAAACTTCTAGAGAGAGAGAGAGAGAGAGAAGGGCTTCATGGAGGTGAGAGGTTACCGGGAGGAGAGAAAGAGGTGTTTGAAGAAACACGGGAAAAGAGAAAGTGAGAGAGACATAGGAAGAGTGAGAAAGAGAGAAGTTTGGGGTATATAAGTGAAAAAAGAGAAAAGATTGGGTTTAGAAATAGCATGTCTTTCTCACACTTGTTTAGGTTAAAAATTAGGTTTAAAGTGGCTAGGGAGTTTAAAGATATCTTTTGAAATCTTGGGTTTATCAAGAAATGAAAATTAAAAGTAGGGAATATGAAGATATTTTCCCAAAAAAAAAGGAAAAAGGCAATACTTGCTATTCTGTGATATTTGAATGGTTTGTAGGTACTGCATAATTGGCGGAGAAATACTGTTATAAATATCTAGAAAGATATCCAAACATGAACATGTTTACTTTTTTTACTTTTTGGGTTGGGGTTTAGGGTAGGGTGGGGTGGGGTGGGTGGGAACTAGTAGAAAAGATTGATCAGTTTCAAATAAAAATGATAGAAGAATTGTGACAAGAGGGAGGGAGAGAGAGAGAGATGGTACCCAATCCTTGTGCCGGCATGACCAGTGCTTTTTGAGACAGTGAAGAGCATGATATCTTTGTCAGCGGGAGAGGTGATGGGGGTGTAATGAGGCCAGTAGTAGGCAAAATCATAGATGATTTTTCCCATGCTTCCATTGACAACTGCTTCCCTTGTGAAACCATCCGGGTTGTTTGGGGAGGTCACTAGCTCAATGTAAGGCCTCTCTTCCCCACCAACCCGCTCTCTCTCAAATGCATAAGCATCACCCGCCCACCTAAACACCTCAGATCTCAAGTAGTCCGATGCTGCTTGATAAGACTACAATACACATGCCATCCATTATGATAACAATATCAAAATTGACGATGACAATGATGGTCATGACTTTATTATTAAAAATCATGAAGACTTTCTTTTTTTCCAACTGACCAGTCATGAGCACAAAAACTTTTCTCTTATAGATAGCAATGGAAAAACAGAAAGGATACAAGTGTCTTGTAATGATTTTTCACAAAGACGATTGCTATATTTTTCTAATATGAAAAGACGATTGCTATATTTTTCTAATATGAAAAGACGATTGCTAATATTAACTTCATATATACGATGGAAACATAATATTGATATTTTATTGATAACCATGACTGATTTTTTCCGATAAATTATTCAACACTAACAATAACTTCATAGATACGATGGAAACATAGAAAGGATGCATCAAGTTGCAGGGAGAACACAACAAAGGAAACATATTCTGAAAAAGAAAGATGAGTGATTTGACAACTATGTATTAATATTACTGTTTTATACATGGTGATAATTGTGATAAGTAGATGTACTATTTGTAACTGCTATTGTTCTTACTATCATTATTATCATCATAGCCTTTTCCCAACTATTTTGGGTCAGCTTCTTACTACCATTACTATAATTCTTATTACTATGACTCTAACATCCACCACATGCCCGGTAAGCACTAGGGGAGCCGGAGGGGAGAAATTCATGCAATGGTGGCATTTGGGTCATCGAAGTGATCAAAGCTTGTGCCACATTAGTCAACTGAAAATTCAAAAGAACAAAAATGAAATAAGATCTCGACTATTAAAAGAAACAGAGAAACAAGACAATTAAAAGAAACATAGAAACGATCAAATTAGCACTTTCCTTCCTAAAGTTATGTTTGCCATTTCAACATCTTAATGAGCACTTTCTAAAGTCACATATGTGATTTCAATATCTTATAACTATCATTACTATAAGAATACGCCTACAAAGCACAAGAGCGGTTCTGGATAAGGAATCCATGAAAGGGACATTTTGGTCATATAAGTGCTTGCACTTGCACCCGCATTAATTGTCTGAAAATTTAGAAAAATTGAATCGAATCTCCAGAAATAAAAGACACAGAGACCTGACAAAAGAAGCAACCAAATCAGGACATGACTTTAAAGTCATGGTTTTACCATTCTTGCAAGTGACATTTGTCGTATACTATTGGAATGTTTCTGAATTAATGCACTTGCATTTGTGTGAGCACATCATTGACTCAAAATTCAGAATAATCAAATAACAAAGCATCTTGAAAATTATAAGAAATGGGGATTCTAAAATAAGAAACCAAATCAACACTTTCCAACTTTAAAGTAAAATTCTCCATTAGTGACTTTCCCAGTTAGACTGTTTTTGTTGTCAAAGTTCCTGCTCTTGCGCAGGCACGAAAACCAAAAGAGGATCAGATCTCAACAAATACAAGAAACAGAGACCTGACAAGATAAAAGACCAAATCAATACAGTGTGTATTGAAAGTCATATTTTTCTTTTCTTGTATTGAAATTTGTCATGTAGTGTAAATAGGGAGAACTTTTCTTTTCATCAAAGTGATTAGGCTTATCTTGACAAAAGCAATAAAGAGGAAACGACCAAATCAGCACGTATCACATTTTAAAGTCATGTTAGTTATTCTTCTTGTCGTTCTCCACACACTTAGTGCGTGCAAAGAGAATAGATATCTACATAGACCCTTCTCTTACGTTAACGTGACAAAATTAAATTCGTTTCCAGCGCGTGAATTACTCCTAATTCAGAAAGAATACCAAATTGTCCCTATTATGCATGAAAACTGTTTCTAGGTTTTGCACATCTACATATTATGTCTGCATCAAGTGGTTTCAAACAAATGCTTGACTGAAGATCAAAATGGTCAAGAACTAAAATAATCTTCCACACACAGAAATTACCAAGTCGAAGAAAGTAACTTATCAAAAGCAAACTATGGGACCATGTCAACTAATCACTAGTTGACAACATTGCACAAACCAATATTTACTTTTTTCATATTGAACACACATTCTCTCTCTCTCTCTCTCTCACTCACTCATTGTTTAAGATTATTGGTTACTATGAATTGAAGACAATATTCCATGAACCGATATATACCTTTGCCTTATTGAACTCTCTCTCTAATTGTTTAAGATTTTGGGTTGTGTTATGAATAAATCTAGGTGCAAGTAATATGATTGTTTATGGAACATCTATACATCCAATTTTAAAAGGCATGGCATTTGAATTTATACATACTAATTGTAGCTTATTTCTTTATACCAATATCTTGGTATCTCATTTTTGGGAAATAGATATTTCATATCTTACATGTTTTCACTATTGTTTTGGTTATTTTTTTTATATGCCTCATGCTTCTACAAAACAAGTGTGGAGCACGTGCATTTCACTAGTAACTAATGAAACATGGTACAAACATCAGATAATTGGCACAACACAAAACCACATTAATAAATTTACAAAGAAGAAAAAGTAGTATAGAAACGTACAGAGTAGAAAGGGGCAGCACCCACAACACTAATGGGTTCTTTAGTATCTCGAGGGGCAAGAGCATAAACTGCTGCCAAAAAAAGTTGTGATGAGCCTGTGCCAACAACTATGTGTCGCCCTTCAGTTTCAGCATTTCCCACCAGATGGTGGAGTTGCAGGATGGAGTCAGCCAATCCTGGCTCTAAGAACCAGCATACGCTCTTGATATCAGAGAAATAACTCATCGACTGCCAGCCCTTTATGACAATAGTACTGCTTTCTCCAGTCCTTCTCCAAAAGGGTATGAACAGTGTTGGGTCACCACTGTAAAATATAGTAAAATTTCAAAATATAGTAAAATTTAAGTGACTGAGTACCCAGAAATATCAGAGAGAAAGGTTTCCAAGACGATGCATTGAGAGCATGGCAGGTTGCATCTAGAGATTGAAACTTCATTCAATATTGCATATAGAGATAAGAGCAGAAGAAAATCGGGTTTCTTTGGCCATTTCTATACAGTACGGAAGGAGATGGCTAAAGGGATGAGAAGATATGGTAAAGATCTTGATGAAGATGCAAGTATTTCAAAAATATCTGGGTATTATGAAAAATATTTTTTATGCAGAAATATAACCAACAATGCACGCTTAGGAAGGCGATGTTAGAGGCCACTGGCATTAATGCAAATAGGGTATTTTGGTTATTCCCATTGAAGAAACGGAAGGAGAAAAGGGATGGGAGAATTCAAAATGGCTCAGAGTATATTAAAATGCTGAAGGGAAATAGGTCATGATGTATATGCTCAGAATTCAAGCCACAATTTCAAAAAACCAGAAGGGATGCAAGAATGCATACATGCACAAGCCTGAAAGTACATGCATGAATACAAATGCAACATATACACATGCATGCATCAAAAAAACAAATATACATTTGGTAGAGCATGAATACACATTGTATGTGCATGTACATGGGCATGAGCACATATATCTGTCAAATAGAGGCATCCCACACATACAATAAACAGTTTACAGTAGAATGGAAAGTACACATGTACTGGAGCATGGAATAAGAGTTGCACCATACAATCTAATGCATCTCATCTTGATTCTCTCTCTTGTTAAAGTTTTTGCATTATTAAAAACTTATAAGGAATTTTTTCTACTTTTGGAAGTAAATTTGGACATGCAGTAAAGTCTCGAGTTTGAATATGCTGCCATCTTCAATCCCACATTTGTCAGTCAGGCTAGAACAAGTATACCAACCAAGCTTACAGATAACTAAGTTTTCAACCAATTCAGTCTAAGGAATCATATAGACTACTCATTATTGATAAGTTTATGATCAATCCATTCACTTAGTAAACAATTAATCACATAATCTGCAGTTAAGCAGATTGAGAAACCAAAGAGCAATACTAAAATTACTGAACAGCAACATTAAAACTATCTTGCCCATACCACTAGCCTAATAATTATGGCAAGCAAATATGCTACGTAATTTCCTTTTGCGGGTAGTAAAATGAATTCTAGATGCATAGTAAAGAATTACTTCTCAAAATTTACAACTTGCATATATTCTCAAAATCTACATTGGCCTCCCAAAAAATGATATATGTACAGAAGGAAAGGTAAACTCATCATTGATGCTACCCAAGTTGTCACATTATCGAGTTTTGGACTAACAGCCAAATAAACTGCCAAAACATCAAAACGTGTCTGTACTATGAATTAAATTCCATAATACATGAGCCCAGCTCCAATATATATATATATGTAACTATGTACTCTTACAATGTTTTCCACTAAGTAATACTTTTGAGTATATTTAGATTAGCCATATAGAAGGTACAGTACAACAAGATACTACGCTATACAATTATTTTAAAATACTCCTGTATGAATTTTATAACAGTATCATCTAAAATGTTATGAAATCATATATCAAAAAGCAGCAGAAGCAAATCAGTGTCATTAATCCCCAAAGGCCTAACGACTGATCTACAAGTGACCAATGTATTCATTACATGTGCCCAGAACAAGAAGGCCACACATGCTATACCTCCAAGGAATTTCTAATAAATAAAGGGTACGCTAAAAATTTTACGGTCATAATCTTCAATGCGTGCTGCAAGTAGTTTGTAGATTTATATTTGCTTTATAAGAAAAATAGATTACATTTACTGTGTGAAGACATATGCTCTTAGGCTTAGTGAATATGCTTCATCCGAAATTGCTGCATGTCATAGGATCATAGGAATGAAAAATCAAACTATTCTAGATGCTCACTATGACTTATAACCCCTTCCCCCACCCCAACAAAAAAAAAACAAAAAAAAACAAACAAGAAAAGACAAAAAAAAAAGACGTTCCCCAAATCGAGCGACAGACATTTTGGTTGTTAAATATCAACAACCAATCGCACATAGAGGACTGGGAAAAACAAAATTGAAAGGAATTCGATAAATTTTCATAGTTAATTATGTATTAAAGCATGCATAATTATGTATGCATTTATGTATCTGTTGTCCTACCATTTATGTTTGAACAAACAAAAATATATACATATGCATGTATGTACGCACATGTACGTGTCTAGGTACTCTGTGTGGACAGCAACAGAAGCCAACAACAGATAACATAAACTGATACGCACAAAAAAAAAAGGAAAAATGAAAAAGAACAAAGCATCTCAAAAAAGCTAATTTTTCTCTTATATTTTATTTTTTATTTTTTATAGAAATAAAGAAAATGATGCATAGATGCCAGCACTGAGAGAAAAGCCTACAGGGAAAAGTTCCTTTCCAAGCAAAACCACCACATACAAGGTAATCATTTTATTCTTTATCTTTTTCTTTACTTTTCTTTTCTTTTGTTTTTTTAGTACTTCTTTGTCTTTTCATTCAACAGTCTTTCCATTCAGCAGAAACGAACATGAATTAAACCATAAGGAATACCCTAAGAAAATATTAAACTGAGAAGCCCATAACAAATACCAAAAGCCCAAATACAAATCTCTCTCTCTCTCTCTATCTATCATGCTCATATAAACCCCACCAGAAAGCGACTCGCTCTCGCTCAGAAAGCGACTCTCTCTCGCTCTCCCCCTCTGTAGAATGAACAGGGAAAGTTGATCCAATGGCAGTTACAGTAAGACCACAAAGAATTCGGAGCTTAAATGCGCAATTGAAGTTAAAATCACCATCAAAACTGGCCTGTATTTTCCTGTGATTTTCCATCTTTCGACGATGAAACAAACAGCAAACTACCAAGCAAAATATAAAAATTTTCAAAGAAATAGAAGTTCAAACACGAAACGTCCATGGATGAGAAAATTTCAGCAAAAACTCATGCACAATACAGACCCAATCTAAGGAAAGCAACCAAAATAAGAGTTTTTTTTGCTTTCTATCTCTATGCCTCGTAGCAGAATGAACAAAAGCCTCAAAGTCGCGACCACAGGAATTACCCCAGAATGAACCAAATAAACATGCAAAAAGAAAACTTTGATTTGTAGACAGGGAAATCAGCAAGCAGAGAGAAAGAGAGAGCTCAATCAAACCATGAATATTGTCTCTCAACAAAAAAATTTTAAAAAAGGAAAGACAAAAACATAATTAACACTAAAAAAAAAAACTATTAACAAAAAAAAAATTAGTCTGCATGTGCGTTGGGTATATTAGAGAGAATTACAGAGAGAAAGGGGAGCTCACTGGTCGAAATTGATGACAGTGTCCGAGGGCACAGAGCTCTTGTGAGTGTCACTAGTCAAAGCTGGTGGTTTCGAGGGACTGGTGTTCAAATGCACACCCTCATTCTTGCATTCCTTCCCCTCTCCCTCAAAAAACAACCCCCCACTATGCATCTCACTACAATCGTAACGGACTCCTCTCTCATACAACAACCGACTCAAAAGAACAGCATTCACTGCAACTGAAAAACACATGAAGTATTTACCAAAACCCATGTTGCTGAACCCAAAGGCACCCCTATCTCTCTTCTCTCCACCACCCATTCCTCTCTCTCTCTCTCTCTCTCTCTCTCTCTCTCTCTCTCTCTCTCTCGTACTCGTACTCGACTCGACTCTCACGTACTACTCGTACGTCTACGTACTACGACGTACACTACACGTACGTACGACGT